TGCTAGTCGCTAGTCTTCATCTCCCCCTTGAAATCTAAAAAAGTGTATGGCTGAGGTAGAAACAAGCACTGTGAAATAGAATACTTTGGGTTTTGTAATGACTTATGGTATGTAATGTACGTCATGTTACTATGTGCAAACCATTTGCACATGGAGTCCAGTAATGTCTAGCTAAATGCCGATGTTTAAATTAGTGCCTCATTACAAGTTTTTTAGCATAATAACCAAAGCTGAGCATCAATATCACTGTGAAATGCCTCTTTCATGCAAATCAGCTTGATTGGCCTTCTATTTTATAGCACTCTGTGACATTAAAAAAAATCAGGCATCATGTCCTGAGTATTCACTGATATGGTCAGTCAAGGGCCACAATTTAATTGTTTTGGGGACACGTTTGACCCACCCATGTTAAAGTCTGATAAATGGATTTTAAAATATTTTCCCCAATTCATATTTACATAATTATGCTCGATGTGTCATATTTGGTACTATTGTGTTTGTAGTAGAGAGAGGTTTCAAATGATGTACAAGTCAACCCATTTCTGTTGGCACTGTATCATCAAAACCTGAGGAATTGCTGTTAAGTGACCATTGAAATTATGATTCTGGAGATTTGTATGAATCAAATGACTCCTCTCTTAGCTTCCTGTAATTAACTTGCCATAGAATTACACATGTTCCTAGGCTATTAGTTGGGTATTTCTTAAGAAGGAAAAACTAAAAATCATAATAATCTTCCCATTGGAAGCCAACTAAAACATATTTTAGGGACTTCACTTTATATTTGCCATTTAGGGGGGGAAAAAGTGGTTGTGGAAATTATTTCTAAAATTGCTTGAGGATATTAATTGAAAAGACTGAATAAGATTTAATAAAATCAGTAATTACATTTGCTTTCTGCTCTTTTAGTCTATGTCCACACTGCACGCTAATTTTGAAATAATTCATGTTATTTCGAAATAACAGAGTGCGCATCTATACAGCAAGCCCATTATTTCAAAATTATTTCAAAATAACAGCTTCTTATTCTAAATTCTGTAACCCTCATTTCATGAGGAGTAAAGGAAGTTGAAGGAAGAGTGCTCTTTCTTCGACTTCCTGCAATGTAGACAATGCCAAAAGCCAAATTAAGCTATTTTGACTTCAGCTGTGCAATTAACGTAGCTGAAGTTGTATATCTTAATTCAACTTTAGCTCACAATGTAAATGTACCCTTAGTTTTTAAAGCAATTTCAAAAATGATTAACATAGTTGCTTTACCTGCTGGCTTTTTCATTCTGTCTTATGGACTGGAATATCTTGCACTTGTCATGTACATTCATAGTTATACCTTTTCTCTTACAATCTACAAAGAAAACATTTGGATTTTGAAATTGATGCAATTAATTATTGAAGCTCCTCCCGCCCCGCCACCAGTTTTTACATTTGGAAGATATGAATTCACTTCTGAAAAGATCTAGAAAATATGAAGCAGTAAAATGTCTCTCTTTTCTTTTTAGGGTTATCCTGGTACTAGAGGAGATAAGGTCAGCACTACAATAATTTAAAAATTGAAAGCAATAATGGAAAGGATTGTAAAAATGTATTGTACAGTATTAACAGGTTGAGTTGCTGAGGGCGTGAGATCAGAAGGCCCTATAAAAACAGAGTTGTATTAAGACTCGTACTGAGAAGAATGATGGGCATGTGATTTAGGCACTGAACTGAGCTACCAAAAAACTGGGTCCAGGGCTAGGTCTTCTTCAGACTCCCTATTTGAACTTGTACAAGTCATTCTGTCTCTGTTCCCAATTTGTAAAAGTAATCCTTCCTTTGTCTATCATTTGCTTAGCTCATAGGCTCTGTGGGGCAGAGAAAGTCCCTTACCATGTGTGAAGCTAGCGCAACCTTTGGAGCCTCTGAATTAGAGCTGGTTGAAATAATTCAAATTCTGAAAAATGTCCCTTTTACCAACGAGTTCTAATCTGGATACTGCTGTAATATAAATATTAATAATATGGAAAGATTTTAAGTGAAATTATAATCTGATGTTAACCACACACTGGGAATGTTATCATATGCTGCCTTCCCCTGGTTAATGTTTCATACAGACAAAGAAAAAAATCCCCTATGAAACAGTACTAATTGTCTATTTCTACCATTTATCCCCAGGGTGCCAGAGGAGAACCAGGTGACAAAGGCCTCAAAGGAGACAAGGTACATATTTTGATTTCAAGATGTCTTTAAATTAAACCCGAGCAAACATAAATCAGCCTAAAAATCCTTTTCAAAAGGTTTTAGCTGATAATATTACATTGCTCTGAAAAGAAATTGAGATGTGATTACATGGAATTTTTACAGTATAATTAAATTCCCAACCACAGTGTGAGAATCCCTCCCAATGCAAGAGCAGAAATCTGATGAATGTTTTGGGTCTTGTCCAGATGAAAAAAATCCATGGCCTTTTTAGGTGAATGAGACTCTGCGTGGTAGTCACAAAAAATATGGGTTAGCTATATATGGCCAAAAAGTAAGCAGCATCTTCTTGTGCCAGGTAGTTGTGTACCTGCTGCTATAGAGGAGAGTACATAGAAAAGCCTCCATCACTGTCTGTAGGGTAACTTTTGGGTTATATGGCCCTGTCATCAGTCGCTAGGAGGAGGAGGAGTTTCAGGGCCCTTTAAATTTCAGCCACTGAGTGAAGAATATTTTCCCATGTCAAGGTGCTGGGACTGCTGAACATATTGAGCTGCGTTAAGTCCCTTAGGATGTCTGGTAGCCCATTCTGGCTAACTAAAAGAGCCACCCACAGCCCTGGCCACTTTGGCCAGTAATGTCAGTCTGGTATGTGATCTTCCAGGGATTTTTCATCTTCAGACTGTTGAGGTACAAAGAGTCTGGTGCCCAGCTACCATGAAAAATGTATCTGGAAAAATTGGCTACTTGTGTTTTGTAAAAAACCACGCAAAACAAACAAATGCCAATACACCGTGTGCTTTGGAGAATACCAAAATAAAAATGGATGCTGTTCTGTCAAAGATCACTCAGTGTGCTTTTGTCTTTTACTTGTCTTGTCTTTTACTTTACAGGGTTATATAGGTTTCCCTGGAATGTTGGGGCAGAAAGTAAGTCAATATGATATAAGGTCTCCTTAGAAATTTGAGTAAGCATCCACACAGACACTTGGTTTATTGAGTGGTTTCAGCAGCATTTAACTTACAGAGCTATGGATCTTGGTCTTAGGGTATGAAAGAATTGAGAGCTTCATTTTAATCAGTAGACCAGTGTTTTGAGTCCATTGAATCAGTGGTTCCCAACCTTTTTGATATCGGGGACCAGTAAACCCATTCACAAACTTTTGGCGGACCGTTAACATTTTATTTGCATATTTGCATATTCATTATGCAAATAAAATATTAGCAGTCCGCCAAAACCACAGCTCCCAGAGTCCCCAGTGCCAGCCCTAATCCCTAGAGCGCCCCCACCCCTCCACTACCCCCCAGTGCCAGCCACTGACCACGGAGTCTCCTGCACCCAGCCCCCCCAGTGCCAGCCTCCTGCCCTCAGAGCCCCCCAGTGTCAGCCCTCAATATTAAATCCCAAATGCCTTCGAGACCCCCACCACCAGACCCCCCCCAGTACCACCAGCATCCTGTTTCCAGAGCCCCACTGCACCCAACCCCCCAGAATCTCACTCAGTGCCAGCCCCCAATATTAGCCCCGTCCTCAGAGCCCCTCAGTGCCAGCCCTGCCCTCATAGCCCCCCCACTACTCTCTCAGCCTGTAGAGCCCCCCAACACTAGTCCTGCCCCTGGAGCCCTCATTGCCTGCCCAGTCCTCCTCACCTAGCCCTGCGCTGCTGCCCATGTCGCTGCAGCTCTGGGTGTGGGGGCTGGGATACACCGCCCAGTGGCCACCATCTTAGTGCTGCTGCTCAGGACACAACTGCTCTAAGGCTACCATGCTGGAATTCATGTGGCCCTCCTGCCATGCAGTGAACTGCTCATCCGTGTGCAGGAAAAGACCCTGCTCCTGCCCCACACTGGTTGGCTGAGAGGCAGGGCAGAATATGCTTCTCCCAACAGCCGCAGCAGGAGGAAAGGTGCTGGGTGGTGTATCCCAGGCCCTGCCCCCAGAGCTGCCATGGCCCAGCGGACAGAGGAGCGCGGCCTGGCAGCGGGCTGCAGCCCAGCGGTTGGGAATCACTGCATTGAACCATTATTTTAGGTGGAGATTACAGGTTTTGGCTCTGACAAGGATAATTTTTGTCATTTCTCTTTTCAGGAATATTTATTTGATTAGAAACTTGCTGCCGCTTTAGGTTTTTAAGCTCTTGGGGTATGTCTACACTACCCCGCTAGTTCGAACTAGCGGGGTAATGTATGCATACCGCACTTGCAAATGAAGCCCGGGATTTGAATTTCCCGGGCTTCATTTGCATAAGCGGG